CCTCCGGTAACGTCACTCACACGACGAAACACAACGCAAGCGTTGCTTCACGTCGGTTTTCTATGAGGCCGTTGTATCACTCCGGTCAAGCCGGCCCATTCGTGCCGAAGCATGGTTCTCCCACATTTGGAATATGTTATATAGAAATGTGTTAATTTCAATTAATTTTGTTCTAAATGTAGTAAACTAATACTTCAAGAAAAATGTTTGGTTTAATTCTGCCAAGAAGTAGATTTTGGACCATGTAATATATAAATAAATGCACATACAATACAACAGAGATACAATAAAAATTAAACCATACGTGAAACGTGTCGACAGCTACACCGCGAAAGTTTCAATATTTTGCTTGAAGTTATCAGTTTATTTTGGAATTCTGCAAATCGCCTGATTGTATGCCGTATACTAAATGTAAAATGTAATTTGCAGCAAGTTCGCGCGCCTAGCGTGGGCGCAGTGAGCGCGGTGGGCGCGACGAGCTCGGCGGGCGGCGCGGTGGCGGGCACGTACACGCACGCGGTGGCCGCCACGCACCACGCCGGGGCCGCCCTGGCGCACCACCCCGTCACCGTCAACTACTAGCATACGGCCCTCTCTCTGCCCACGCTCGAGGAAGCCACGCAGCAATGTCTCTGACAGAGCTAACGCCGCCCAGCCGCCATTAGCCAGAGATATACAGGACAGTGAGAGCCTAAAGACAATGAACTGACAGTGTTTACTGAAATTCTAAGTTGTTGACGACTTTATTATACTTTATTCTAAATCCTTATTAAGTTTCTTTGTTTTCCATTCTTTGTAGATATTCTGGTGCATAATCATTATTAATTTTACGGTTACATAGTGATAGTAAAACTCCAATACAAGGGTTAAATTTGAGTATAATTATGTATTTGAAGTCAATCACATATATCAAGGAAATAGTTATACATAAATTATAATGTAATTATATTTTGTACATAATATAATACTAGAGCCATGTAAAGATAGTGTTATGTTATTAATAGTTCACAGTTCTAATTAAATAAATTATGTATGTATACAGCCATTAAAAAGATTTCAAAGTATTTTAAATCCCACTTGTTAACAATCGCAATTCAAGTGCAGTTAAATATAGATAATTTTATTTTTTACTTCCATTGTTAAGCAATTCTATTTTCAGTTTTTTTTTTATTATACTTCCGTAACCTATTCACATCTTAATTCTTATCTGTTAGTTTTAGTGGTTACCATATTAACATTTGTTTTTTTTATATGTCTGGGCTATTTGTGGCAGTAACTTTTAGTTGTTTTTTATTATTTTTAAAATTAACCATCAAATATTGAAAAATCACATTCCGTTTTGATTGAATATTAAAAAATACAACACATGGAAAAATACTAAGTACTTGTATAGTATACTTACGCAATAATTGGTATGGTGTTATCTTAGTCCCCAATTTTCCAAACGGAATTTTAATACAATCTCATTTTATGAAGAACTATATTTTATAAATTATAGCAAAATGAGTTTCTCGAATTACGAAACAGGGACCAGAGATCAAAGCGAGAGTGTAAAGTAAAATAAATGCTATAACCCTCTTGCTACTCCCAAGATTATACAAAGAAAAAAAAAACGATTTATTTTGGTTGTATATACCAATAGCTAATTTTTGAGTGGGCGATAATTTCCAATAAATATCGCCAATATAAATTGTGTCCAGCTTAGTATAAATATTCTTTGCCATGTACAGTACAAGTGTGATAAATCTGTTATAACATTATGTATAGAAATAATTGTATGTAAGTGGTGATTGTATCGCTTAGCTTAACTATGCGCACGAGAAGTGGTGTTATAATCACTTCCGTGATTATTGTAAACACGCCGCTTGTAATAAAATGTTATAAATTAAATAGCCTGTATCTACGTGTATATAGTTAGTTTTAATCACATAGTTGTATCAAATCTGTAGCAAATTTAAGACTAATAAAATATCATTTATGTTAGTATTTGGCTGGATTGATAAATTTTATGGCAAGCTGAGAAAACGATTCAGAATCGTGTTATAATAGAAAGATTTACTCTATAAGGTGCGATGAATCATTGAGATAGGTAATTTATATAACAGCCAAAGGGTAACTTATCTTCAATGGTGCCACGCTAATTTATATTTTATAGGAAAATTAATTCCTTAGACACAATAGTATGTACTAAAATCTAAATTATGTTCAGTAATTTGATATGAATGAGATTAAAAAATGAAACTAATACTTGTATTTCATTTCGTAATTCGAATCGGTTTAAAGTATTTTGCTGGCAACTACAAATTAATCGTACTGCAGCGTACCAACTGGCGCATCTGCGTCTGCGTAACAAAGAGAGGGTCAACTTATACCTCCACAAAATCGAATTGTAAGGCTGCGTTTCCACTGATGCGGAGCGAGGCGGAGAGGTGCTTAGTGGTGCACGAATTGACCAATCACTACGATCGAAAGATCGTTTCTGAAAGATTGATTGTAACTAAGCTCAAAAATGTGCGATTCCAAATACTTTTGGAATCGCTTTTGGCTTCGCTATGCTCCTTTTCAGTCCGCTCCGCTTCAGTGGAAACACTGACCACTTTTCACTGCTCGTCACCGCTCCTTTCTGACCAGCTCCGCGTCAGTGGAAATGCAGCCTAAAGGCCAATTTTTCAATGCTCAGATAAATTTTAACTGAGGAATAACTTCCATATTAAAAACTTAACTGTCAATTTTGTTCTACAGTTACGAATTAACTGATGATTGAAAAATTGGCCCTTAGTCTAGTATTTACAGATGAGCGCATGAATGCGTGCGCATCTAGCGTGCTTTTTAAAATCACCGAAGTATATGTTGAATGCATTATTACGCATTGTGGCATTCCATAGTCTACCTACATTTATGGGAGATAGGCGTGAGTTGATATATACTTCTATAGTTATGATACACTTTGTTGTATGCATTACGCTGTGGAGATTAGGTTGAGACAAAGTTCGACTCTGCGCTAGTATAAATTACACGCTACGTCTTTTAATTCACGAAGAGATAGACAGATGCACTTCAATAATGTAACATCTACTTTGTTTGAGTTATCAAGTCCCATATAGTGAATGGTGTGGTAAGCTTATTGCAATCTGACTGTGATGCCCAACGTGCAAAGAGACGAGATAAACCAAACTAAAACAAATAACTCCGAAAACTTCACTCACACAGCAAAATGGCTTATGAGCCTTGGTGAGAAGTTCAACAAAAATTGCAAAGATGTTGACTGTGTTGTACATAGGTATCTCGGCCTTTTAGTGTTTCACTGGCATTTTTAGGATTCACAACATGGAAATAAATAAACACAATGTTAAAAGTGACTGATTAAAAAATATATTATACTTTAAAGCTTATATTAGCTTATTTACATTTTGCAAAAATATTTACTTAAGCTTCGGCTGCTATTTTGATAGCAGTCTTTTTGACCTTTTGAGGTTTTTCTTGCTCTTTCTCTTTTGGGATCTCCGGCAAGTCCTCAGTGGGCACATCTGGGAGTTGATCACCCACATCAAGAATGGCTTCCAGTTCTGCTTCAACAGCATCTTCATCTTCTTCAGTAAGTTGGCCAGAGATCAATTCATCTATTTCTCTCTGTTTTTCTATACCTTCCCTAGTTTCATCCAGAATCTTTTCTATTTCATCGATATTTAGGATATCATTGACCTTCTTTAGAGCCTCATTACCCGTCCGCAAACCATCAATCACCTGGAATTAACCGAACAAAATATTAATTTGCTCTAAACATACATCAGCATCTTGACAGTATTAATTACTAAACTAATTATAAACAAATTACCAATATGGAAATGGCTATTCGATATTTTATATTCATAATTAGTTGTTTTTCGATATTTAAATAGTCGCAATAAATCACAAAGGCTTACCTGGACTTCGATTTGCGCAAACTCTAAATCATGCGTAAGCTGTTCTAATTTTTCTAATTGATTATCAGTGTTTTGTAGAAGTTTCTCTTGGTATTTTTTCTTTTTAAGTAACAATTTGGCTCTATCACGTTTTCCTTCATCTAAAAGTTTCTTCGCTAACTGCCTATCTCTTTCGAGATTAAGTTCTATTTTCTTCTGATATTGTTTTAACTTATCTCTCTGTTGTTTTAACTGAAGAACAGCCTTATCTTGTTCAGTCACTCTGCTTGCAGGTTTTTTGTGTTTACCGAATAAGGAACCCATTTTTAATATTTCTTAAATACTACGCATGTGTATAAAATATGTTGTAGCCCTATCTACATAAGTAATTTATGTATCCAACAAGAGGAATCTTTTGTTGATTTAATTTATTTTTACACAACACACCCCGTTGATTGACACTGACACTGACAGTGACAGCAACAAAGTCAAAGTAATGTCTTGTCATGTGATGGTAAACGGGTGACCCATAGATGTATGGGTGACCAGAGAAAAATAGGGCAAAACGGTACTTTGTCCCCTTTGCCAGTTTGCCCAACCCAGGAATCGAACACGATACTCATTTTTTATTTATGTAAACGGCTTACTAACGGGCTTCCTCCCTGGAATATTACACCGTCTAGAGCCGAAAAAATTACATTAAGTTACAAACTGTCTTATGGTCTGGTCTAAACAATAAATTGTATAACTTATGATAACTAAACAAGCCATTCAAATTCATGATGAATATTTATTTTTAACTTTCGTGCAAAATACTTTGTCAATCAAAGCATTGCTCATGTTATGCTGTGACAAAATTGGGAAATAATGATTATATTACAAAGATGGGCCCCTTACAATATTAATTGACAAACATGACCTTGTTCGTTTTGTGAAAATGTGAATGCTAGAATGCTAGAATGCTACCAATCCTACCATATTCACGTCGTAAAATAAATGGGTCAATCACTATTTTCAGATGACCACAATATCATTCATTCTTTATTCTCTCCTCATTGGCTCATTCAAACTAAGCAAGCAATTCACTTCATTCATTCATTCATTCATTCATGGACTGCGTGAGCGTGAGCCGTTGATGGGCACAATTGTTTTGCATTTTGCATTGCCTGTTTATGCTGTAATGTGTTATTATTATATTAATTAACTCCAATTAGTATTTTTTACTATGCAGTTGAATTAAAACACGGTGTTCAATTTGTTTAGTTAAATATTTAAGTAAGCAACCACAATGGCGGTGCTGGCGGCTGCTCAGCTGCTCGATGAGTTGATGGGCAGACATCGGAATACAAATCCAAACGAAAAAATTAAGAAACCTAACTGGGAAGATCCTGAGGTAATCCGTATTTTTCTTTATCACAGTATTTATTAAATTCTTACAGTAGAATCATTATTGGTATATATTATTTAGGTTAACACTTGATAGCATTTTGACGCAGACGATAAAAAATGCATAAATGAAAAGTAATAGTAGATTCTATTTTCCGAAAGGCTTACAAACTTTAAATAATGATCTTTGGAAATATTCACTTCTATAGTATAGGGTCGGAATCCGTGCAGTATTAAGATGCCATAAATTCATGTGAATAATATCGCAAAAAGAACCGAAATATACATTAAAAATACCATATAATACCACAATGTGTCTGAAGCACTAAAATAAATATGTACAATAAAAATCTTCAACAGTTAAATTGTACTCTGGTTAGAAACAATTTTGCATGAGTTTGACTTGGCCCTTGGAATCTTCAAATTCAGATTTTTGGCTAATTATTGCACACACGAAAGCCTATTTAGTCAGCTATTGACAAAAAAGCTAAGTAGTCAGTATCTATACCCACATAATGGTTTTCATCTGTACTACGACTGAGATTAAAGTTACGTGTTTGTAAATACACTAAAAATCTAAGATTACATCGGACTATACTTACTAGTAATCTTCTGTGCTTCTATCCTTTTGCTATATCAATCAGAACTGCCAATTAAATACCACTAGATAGAGGACTGATGTGACACAATGAAATTAACTAGGCATAAAATGTAGCATCTTCGATTAAATTAGTTTATAAAACATTTCACTTTGGCCAAAGTATGAATGCAGCATATTTGACTAGGTATTCTTAGTTTGAAATATATATTAGGAAGTAATATGAATTAACATCATAGAGATAAACATAATAATATTTCATATACAATTATGTATTTCAAATAATGTCATGTTAATTACGAATCATGTCTTAACAACATTTATGTTATTCTATATTCTTACTTCTAATATAATTTTCTAGAAATTTATATAAATGTGTCTTGTTACAGTACTGTAAATATTATATGGTGAAGTTCTGTCCGCACGACTTGTTTGTGAACACTAGAGCTGACTTGGGTGCATGTCCCAAAGTACATGATGATGAAGTTAAAGAACTGTTTGAAAAGGCTGAGACCTCTTATAAGAAGGCACAATATGTCGAAGAGTTTCTACGGTTCTGCCGTCATATGATCAATGATGTTGAGAGTAAGTAGAAACTATTATGAACTGTTAAACAAAGTACCTACATATTATCAGGAGTGAAGCTTTTACAATTTGTGTCCTTTTTCAGGAAAAATCCAAAAAGGTAAACAAAGATTGGAGCTCATGAATTCTAAGCCTGATGGACCTCCTATGACCCAAGCTCAGACTGAGAAAAACCAGGAACAGGTACTATCTCATATTTTCCTTTTTATTTAAGACTTATATCTAGAGACCGGATAATATGCATTTGCATATTTGCATATGCATTTGCATATTTTAGCGATTTTCAAGGCTAATAGCATATTTTTACTAATATCTAGTGATGATGCATATTATTGCTATAATTTACAGTAGGTAGGTCTTTTTCGAGTGTAGCGCACTCGGCAGCCGCGCGTATTTTGTTTTGGTAGGTACTCAAAAAATGAAAGAGACAAATGATCGCGCCGCCGCGCGCTCGCCTACCGCGCTACTCCCCTACCGCGCTACTCCCACCTATTATGCATGTCACGCTCGTGATTTTATCTTCTCAACACTTGGATTGTTGACACGCTCGTGCTTGGATAATTCACCTGCATTTAAAAGGTTTTGTGTGTGTACAAAGCCTCCCGAAAAAAAAAGTGTGTCTTCGTGGATAAGTGAATTTCCTGGAACATTTACTTACGACGGAAATGTTTTATATTGTCGAGTTTGCGAGAAAAAAATATAAAACTTAATAGTTTTTTATTTTATCAAATAACAATAAATTAAAAAGATACATACATAATAAAGTAAAACATAAATAACACAAGTATTTACTAACAAAATACTTAAATCTAAAGGAATAATATTTACAAAACAAAAAAAACTCATTTAATGTTGCATATTCTGTCAGTTTTCGTGCATATTTTAGGCATTTTTCATGCATATTTGCATGCATATTTCAAGCTTTTTATGTTGCATATTATCCGGTCTCTACTTATATCTATCCAAACTTTTTGCAGAATATTTATCTAAAAATGTATGTTTCAGGTGCAATTACTATCAGAAAAAATAACATCGTTAGTGCAGGAGGCCGAGGAAGCTGGGACTCGTGGAGATGTGGAGCAGGCACAAGGCCTCATGAAGCTTTGTGATAGACTGAAAGAAGAGAAAGAACAATTGTTGAAACAACAAGAGAATAGGTAATATTTATATTTGAAACTTGAGTAGGAATAATTGCAGCATTGTAATAAATAATGTTGCCTATTGATTGAGTAGCTCTTAAAGTTTCAACTATCTATAGATTTTGAAAATGTAGTTGACATTTTCACACAGTGGTTGTTTTTTAATCTTTCAGTCATTGGTCTATGACGGCTGAGTTGGCAGCCGCACAAGAAAAGCAGATGGAAGTTTGTCCAGTGTGTGGTGCATTCCTCATTGTTGGGGATGCACAACAGCGTATTGACGACCATTTGTCTGGGAAACAACATGTTGGGTGAGAGATATTATTTACTTTATATTTCAAATTATGTTATTTTAATTATGCTTAAAATTCTATTATACTTTTTTATTACAGTTATTTTAAACTGCGGCAAGCCTACGAGGAGATGAACGAAGCGCGGGAAAAGGAACAACAAGAGAAAGAAAGGAAACGTCGGGAAGAGAGAGAAAAAGAACGCAGCTCTCGTAGTGGCGGACTGGGGTCGGATCGACGAGACAGAGAGCGAATGGAACGTGACCGGGAACGCGATAGAGACAGGAGTGATAGAGGGGATCGTGGCGATCGCGGCGATCGGGGTGATCGAGGTGATCGGGGTGATCGGGGTGACCGGGGTGATCGGGGTGATCGGGGTGATCGTGTTGACCGTGGTGATCGAAATGACCGTGGTGATCGAAATGACCGCGCTGAACGCGTTGAACGTTCTGAACGCGGTGAACGTGGTGAACGCATTGAACGTGGTGATAGGGAGAATAACGATAGGAAGGAACGCGAGAAGGACCCGAAGGATAGGGAAAGGGATAGGGAACGTGAGAAAGAAAGAGAACTACGGGAGCGCCATAGGTGAGTAAGCAAATCCTATTGCATGTTTCTTCAATTAAATAAAAATACTCTTGATTTTATAAACCATTGTTGTTAAATTATTATGTGTATGTATTATTTATTACGTGACTAATATTTAATATGTCTCACGAAAGTTACAATACAAACCATTGTTGTTATTATTAGATCAAGCCGAGAAAAGACCAACCGTCATGAGGACCGTGAGCGGGAACGAGAGAGGGATCGCGAGAAGGAACGGGAGAGGGAGCGGGAGCGCGAACGCAAGCACCGCAAGGAGAGAAGTTAGTACTTGGCATCTACGCGAAATGATACACGTGAAGACACTTTCAAAAAATAAAAATGACCTACCTTTGTTACAGGATCCCCTCACGACCGCTCGCGGCGACGTTCACGCGACCGCCACTAGCTAATGACTGAGGTATCACAAATGCGCCTGAAATCGGTAAGTATACAGCACTACGCCTCAACATCTACCAATGCGTAGTATCCAGGTACCTGCATCAATGACACATACCTCATACCCATGTCACTACATTTTGACATCAGATAACCAATAAACTAACATTTGATCAACCCACCCACACTGACACTACTCAATCCTCTCCCCAAGATAAGACAATTACAAGTAATAAAGTGAACACTGTTGTTTTACAGCTTATATGTAGCATACCAAAATATTACTTCGGTATATGGCAAACATATGGGGAGTAATGACACCCATTGCACTCTCGATTCGATAGTTGTCGTCACACCGACGGACTTGGCAGGTATTTGATTGGTATTTTGATAGTTGCCGAGAGCCAACAATGGGAGAAGACTTATTTGTTGATCGCCTTACATTTGTCTGACATCTAACGTCTCGTTGGGTGTTAGAGTAACTCAAAGGCGATCTTCCAATAAGGTCCATTCAGACGAGCAGTCCGCTTCGACGTCGTTTTGAGGTATTTCACCATGTTATGTTTCGTCGTCGTCATTTGTCGCCAGTCGACTCGGGCCGAACGCAGGTATTTGTTAGGATACGCGTTCTTCAGAATAAGGCTTTGATGGGAAGGTGTTAATACCATTAGTTTGGAAATGTTTTTAATTTATATCGTGTCTGTGATACTGTAGGTTATAAAACAATTCTTTTAATGCAAAGTATTTTAACTCTTTATTTTCGTTGCATTGCAATCATAATATGAACAATGCTATGCGACGAAGACTTTTTGGAGCTTACATATTGGTGCTCTATGTATCACATTATGGATGCTGTTAGCACATCATCTACTGTGTATTTCCAGGTACCCAAATATTGTTTGATGTGGCATCAAGTTTCATAGATTTTTCATCCATATTTTAGTTTTTTATTATTATTTTAAATAACATTTTAAGTTTTGAAACTTTATGTCATACTATGAATTAACCTAAACCCCAACATCCTAAGTGAAATGAAATGTCAATGATTATTGAAATACATATTTCTGATAAGAATATAAATTGAAGAGTAAATTTCTCTAGTTTCTTCAATTTTTTTTAATAGCATACTCATTGGCAAGTCAGTTCCTTAATTTCCTGCTGCTAAGTACCTGTTACTAGCTTGCTCCATGGACTTTTCAGTTGGAAAGCCATAGACGAAGAAGCCCGGATCTCGCTGCTACCGCAACGCGTCATCATCATCGCATCAAAGAGGTACATTTGAAATTAAGCACCCGTACAGAAGAGGCGAGGCGCACCGCGCGCCGTACCGGACGTTCTACACTTGGCCATCGGTTTCGAGGTGACATAGAATAGTCACACGTATATTAAGAATTTCAATGTTAGCACCAAAACTTGGTTAATGAAATGCATGTAGCCGAAAGTCCCGCGTTACAAGTGGACTTGTTGTTATATTAGATTTTAAATATTTGTAACAGTGTAGATATCACTGATATTTGATCTTTAGGAAGGTCACTGTTTTTTTCTGTAAACCAGTTCCTCTGAGGAGTCATCAGGTATTTATCAAATTATTTTTTATCCTTACTTATCGTAATGATGTTAAAATGATTTATTGTGTATGTTGGGAATGAGCTGATAGCCAATGTCATGAAGGAATAAACTATTTAATTCATTTTTGAGTTTTATTTTGTTACTGATTTTCCCTCTTCATTTTTGTCATTTATAAGCAATATTTTACGACTAAGTAATAATGTAGGTACCTATATATATAAAAGAAGTCGTGTCAGTTACACTATTTGTAACTCAAGAACTGCTAAACCGATTTGGATTAAAATTGGGGAAGTACCTAGCTTTGAACCAAGGGACGCACATAAGATACTTTTTATCCAATTCCTTTATTACTTTTTACCAAAAGTCATGAACCGGAACGGCAAAAAACTGGATTCGCGTACGAAGTCGCAGGCAGAAGCTAGTAAGCAATATTTGACATTTCATTATTTTATTTATAGAGAAATAAACGATTGGATATTCTGTGGAATTATCTGAAATAATTTCATTGGGACAAGGACGTTGATAAAAAGCGGACAGTCTCTTGAAACAACGACTGTGGCACCTGGCTATTATAGTTACACGCAGAACATATTAAACACGACGAACGACATGTCATTTTCTTAAGTCTGGTAACGTGGTAACCTATTACGCATGTACTCATAGAAAACCACCGATATTTTGGTGCTCCAATCATTTCTAAGTTACATCATGTGTCCTCTTTTTTTCAACGTCTTTGCGTAAAGTACATGCAGTACGCCTTTCAAAAGAAACTTACTTAACAATAACCTATTACACCAACAACTTTGTTAAAACAAATTATTGTTTTAACAAAGTTGTGCTAATTAGGACCTATAAAAATGGACCATTTTTTCAATGTCCCTTCAATAATATGAAAGAACGAGCCCCTCTACTTTTACGTGATTAAGACTTTAACTGCCAATAAAAAAACTGTTGAAGGTAAATCCTCCGCTAACGCCGGTCACCGGGCTCACCAGTGACTCCCATGGCTTTTAACGTGTTAAATCATTATATCGTCTTAATTAATCATATCAGTCGATTTTTTTTATTGTTGGCAATATACAACGACATCCATACCATAGACTCGTGCATTTTCATGTTGTCAACATTCAACCGAATGTCAAATATCAATGTCATGTCATATAAGTGACAAGTAAATCAAAACAAAGCAGTGCGTTTCGATATTTTTTGTTGTAAACAATAGTTTCTTAAGTTAAATACAATTTGTTTCTGGAAATAATTGAATCATGATCAACACTACTGAAGCCGGTGATAGCAATGTAACAGAAGAGCAGGCCGCTGCAGCCACACTTCGGGAATTATTTCTGAAAGCATTCGGGGAACTTAATGGTAGGTTAAAATTATGTTAATTTTTAATTAATTTCCTCGTTATTCGACAAATTTCACTAGGATTTTCTCCTATGTCGTGGGTGCGTTTACAAACATACAAGTTCACATACACATGACACTCAGACCCGGAACAACAATTTGTGAATCACACAAAGAGTTGCTCCGTGCGGAAATCGAACCCGCGACACGTTGCGTGGCAACCGGTTGCCTAGCCACCGCACTAACCATGTTGTAAAGATTGTGAGTGCAATTGCGGTAAAAAAGTTAAGAATATTACTTTGTAACATATAAATAGTATTAAACATAGAAGTAATATTGGCGTGCTGGTTTAAGTAATCTATATATTATTATCTAACAATAAAGACCAGTCTATTATATCTAAATAATGTACTTCATAACCAAAACCAATAAATTAAACAGCACATTAATTCATTGAAATTGTTCCCAGGCAAACCCTGCAGTATACTGACATATGAAAAGACAACACTGAATGCTGTATTTGCTGCATGGCATCCAGATGGCTCAGAGATCATTGTCCGTAACCTTCAAACTCCTGCCTGCTTCACAATGTCTACAGCCCTACTCCGAACTCCAGATGTATTAGCTATTAAATTTGATCAACCTGTTCAACTACCATAATGTATATAGTTATGTATTAGAACTACATAGCTGTATATGTTTAACATTATCTTGTAATGTTAAGTTGCATCTAAGACTTCCATGAAGATGTACGAAGGAACCAATCAAATTGATTGGTTGCTTTAATTATTACTTGTTTCTTCTTGTTAAGGTTTTTGTAATGTAATATAATGAACAGTAAGAATCATATCTAGCTTTTTATTGTATGTCCACCAGTATGCATGGCATTTAGAAAAAATATTTTGAGTTGATCCAAATTATAAAAGAAGGTTCAAAAAATAGCTGATGAGTTACTCCCTGGAAGCCGAGTTTTTGAATAGTAAAAGCTTTGTTCAATTTGGGTCAGTAGTTTCAGAGTATTGAATGCAAACAAACAATCAAACCATTATAATATCAGTACCAGCTATGTGGAAACCAATATGCATCTAATAACTTGCTGACACGAACTTCATTCTGAGAAAAAAAATCTCGCCTTTTAAATTCTCCCTGGACTTCCAGGAGTGGAGGTAGGTAATCATCATACATACACACATAACATCACGACTTTTACCCCCGCAGGGTTAGGCAGAGGTGCACATTATGGCACTGCCACTCTTCTATGGTAGGTAGGTACATATACTATGGTAGATGATCAGTTATCTCATATCTCCAAATAATCCTAATTGACTCTACCTATCATCTTAAAACTTATCTTCTTACATAATATTATTTTTCTCTATCTAAATTGTTTCATTAGGAAAAATAAAATTCGATTAGTTATTCTAGTAGGTATACCTATTTATTTATCCTCCTATAGTTACCATTGGAAAATGTCGCAAAAAGTAATGTTTATGTAAGTAATCTATCTTGTATAATCCTGTCTCTAAATAAATTGATAACGATTAGGAATGGTAGGTAGGTATTTCGTTTTTGTTACACGTCACGATAATGACTTTGTCTATGTTAGTATGGAAGGTAGGTAGCCTAGCATTTAACGTACCTAATTATCTGCCTAGGCACTCTATAAATTGATTAACTAAAATATTCGAGAGTTGAATAAAAAAGCCTGTACCTAGAGGTTTAAAAATTACCAATACCTCTACCTACTGTTTTGAAAAATATTTGTTTAAATTTATTTTTCTCTTGAACCGCTGCACTAAACTGGTACTTACCTCTTTTGACGGATTAAGAATTCTAAGCTCATAGTGCACAGGACGTGATCAAAATTTTCGTATGAAGTTTGCAGACCCACTCTAATGCAACCCCTTTGAGTTGTTAGTAGTTAAATATAACTAGATCTTATTCTAGCTAGTAGTCTACTATATCTAACTAGATCTAACCTAGGTATTGTTAGGTACCTTACCTTCATAATCTAGGTACCTATTCTACGTTTAAGTAGTTGCTTGTTGAAACTATAGGCTAAGCATCAGACGCCCACCTACCTATATGTACCTATATATATATTTTTTTTAAGGGGAAAATCATGGAATGACTGCTCCCGCCTGGGTGAGGCGGGAGGGAATGTCAGAGTCTTACTGACTAAAAACCACCCCGTTCCTTCTCCTGCACGTCGAGTCGGAGCCCCGGTTACCCGTTAGGTTCTCCGCGACATGTACCTATATAATAACGTATCAATTTAGGTTCATAGGTAAGAAATATAATTATCGATTTAGCAGAAAACACTAGGTACGTTTTAAGTAAAAGGTACCTATCTAATTTCCTACAAAATATCTCGTTTCTTTACCCTTGCAATTTTATTGAGCTTGGTTACTTATGCCTGTAAAGCGCCTCTGCTTATATATTGCGTTTTTTTGTAGCAAAAATCCCAACAACAATTTGTCGGCAACTTTATATCCGAAATCGAAGACATTGCACTATAATTCACTAAATAAACAAGTTAATTGAAACATTACTTTCATGTTTATTCTCTACTAAAGTCACTCATTCAATTTACAATGCACAGCTCAGCGGGTTTTAATGGGTTCCTAAAGGTAGTGGAACATCGAAAAGCCGCTGCATAATATTGTCTATGTAGGTACAAGGTAACTGTGAAGGCCCCTGGTACAGACCTGTTGCTCAATCGATTCGCTGAGGTCGCTTTGCGGCGCACACTCAAGCGAAGGCTTTTTATGTGGCCCGGCCTTTATTTCAATGTTGCCGTACTCAATATTGCCGATTAGGGATTATTCTATAAAATATTTTATTTAAATCCGGGTGTCTACTTTAGGTAGGTATGTGTATGTACTGTTGGGGCTACCCTTTATTCTTAATCCCGGATTTATTGATAAACACGGGTACTTGACATTACGGTTTTTTTCGCTATAAGCAGGCGTAGGTAGTGGTGGCCTACTTCTGGATTCAGTATTAGATGAGTATTTTAGATATAAATATTGAATATCCTACCAATACTCAGTCTCAGTCAATTTGTAAAATAAACTACTATTATTAGTGTGTTTATTAGTACGATTGCGTTCATTGTGAGATATTTCCAATGAAGTCTGGGATTGTGTTCGTCCTCTAGCCAAGTTCTAGTTGGGACTTAATACTCACTGAGTTTCCATTTGTTGTCTGACTATTCTCTCGAAATACATTTGAAATATTATCGAGCATCCCTAAAAGTACCTATCTACCTATTTACTTATCTACCTTTTGTAAAATGTGTACCTAATAAAGTATATCGGTGTTAGTCAGAGCACGCAGCAAATTCAACGTAATTCTATTAAAAAGGCTTGAAGCAGGAGAGATCGATATAGCCCGGATTATGGAAATACATGCAACCCAGTGAAGCTTAGCGAAACACGTTGCCGTCTCGTTTATGCATCATAGCTTTTCGTCCAAGTATCTATTCCCGATTATTTATTTTACGTTTTGCTTGTTTTCAATATTTCTCTCCTCATTCGCTGAGCCTGTTTGTCGACTATAACTTAAAGGAGGTATGGTTTGTGGTTCAAGAACCTAACCTATTGTCACGGAGAACCTAACGGGTAACCGGGGCACCGGCTCGACGTACCTACAGGAGAAGGAACGAGGTGGTTTTTTGTCAGTAAGATTCTGACACTCCCTCCAGCCTCACCCAGGCGGGAGCAGACAGTCGATGATTTTCCCCCCTTAAAAAAACCTACTAGGTAAATAAATATGGTTCATTGAGTTCTTCCCTCCAAAGGATGAAAGATTTCTGTAATGATGTTCTTGGTCTTAGAGGAAAATTAATTTACCTAACTTATACCTATACCACATGGTAGTAATACTAGGAATGGGATAATTCCGTTTGGACTTTCAACGAACCCAAAATGAAATAGGCCGAATAACATGTCTAAATGCATTCATTCTGAGACGACGAGAGTAATTACTTACAAAACTTCTTAACTAGATTAGCAACTTAGGGTACTTTGAGTAGCTACCCGTATTTGGGACATTTCGGGGATGTTTCAGACCAGTTTGTAGAGTTAGGTAAGACTGAAAAGTGCAATGCATCCTTTTAGAACGGGGTATACTCTTACCTACCTTTTCCTTGTAAATTTTAAAAGAATCGAATTATCGTACTTTGTGAAAATTTTGTAGATATTTTGCATTCAAAATCAGCTAGCTTGCATAAGAGGTTAATTAATGTGGATGAAGTGAAAGAAGTAGGTATGCCAAGATCGAAGCATTTTGCGTTCCATTGCCTCAGCCGGAATAGAATGCCTCTATAGGAAACTGAAATGTATGGAAGCTCTTAAGGATTAGTAGAACTATGATAATTGTGTTTGTTGAAATTCCATTCTTTGAGTGTTGTTGGTACTGATCAGAGTAAAGATTCTTCTTCGGTCGGTCTTAAGGTCGGAATTATCTTATTCCGCCAGCCTAACTGGACTAAGGGTATAACAACTTATTAGATTATTTACTTTTGTCATCCGCTGTTTGTTTCTTCCTGTGAGAGCAGCCTAATGAAGTTAGGACGATACTGGATACAACGTGACATGGCTCTAAGCGTCCGCAGCTGGCCAGTTACACTTTAGTGTTATGTTTGTAAATTTTGTGATTGTGCCCAAATACCAGACCGCATAGATTTCAGGGTCTCTTGAATCTGTTTGCCTGTAGGGCACTAGGACCATCCAATACTAAGTACTTATTTCAACTATATAAGTTCGACGAAGATTCTGGAGTGATTCTGCTACTCGTAGGTGTCTAAGTCACTGCATTTTGGACATAAAGTCTAGTAAGTAGGTACTTATCTAGGTATTGTAGTAGTTACTTTTGTTATAGGAAATTTATATTTTAGTAATATTTATATAACGCAGAAAGTAGAAATTAGGTAGATGGATATGTTTTCTTCTTACATGTACTTAGCTACTTAGTTAACAGAACTTTTCATATTTTTCACAATAGTACGTACAATACGTAAATAGTAAGTACAATAGGACGTACCTACTGTATTTATCCACAATATTCATAGAAACAATTTCAAGGCAGATGTCTGAAAGCTCTTTATGAAATTAAATTCACAAAAGGAATCGGGGCTACGGAGCTTGACGTACGTAGCCAGCCACAGAATACATATTTCCGATGAAATGTGAACGATCAGACGTTGTGTGGATATCTTTGGAACCGGAATATGTTCGGCACACGAATCTGGGATCTCTACATACAGATACATCACTGGGGCAATATAACATTTCAACTTCGATTGCAAATGTGCTGCTGAATTTGAGAGTGTACGTGCCGCAGCCACACGCTCCGGGTTTAACGACAAATTCCCAGCTTAATAGTGCTCCATGATCGTGATAGGCCAACTCGCAACCATCAAATATGATTCTAAACGATAGGAACTGCGAACATTCGGAATGAACATGCGAAACGAATGTGTCGGTGGATTCATAAAGCTGTGAATTTAGGTGTAAATATTAGTGGTATTTTACGCTAAGCCTTGGGGTTTAGAGGTGTTAAATAACGTTGATGGTTTCACAATAGAGATCAGGTGGATTTAAAATGAATAAGTAGGTATGTAATGAGAAAAAAATGGGTACCTACCTATCTTAATAAGTTCTGTTTTAAAAATATAGGTACCGTGTTTCACGACAAAGTAAACAAAAAGTAGAAATTGCGAGATTAATGAAGTTTACTTGCGCCTAACTTCAAGTCTTCCAACAATGACGAGAATACGCAGGTTATCACAATCCTCATCTTAATGATGGGACAGCCATTGCTTGCAAATTATAATTTTATTCATA